TCAACAACACTCCACCACACACCCCACCCAACAGCTCCACAATCACATCCACCACACCACTCCCCGCTCAGAACACTACCCTCACTACACATCGCGCCCCTACATCATATACACCTCTCAACAACACCAACGCGTATACTCCTCTCCCCATCTAGGCCCGCCTCACATCCCAACCCCTCTAACACCACACACTCCATCACTACACACAACCTTACCCATCACTACAATCTCTCCCACGATTCCATCACTCCCCAACACCCAGCACCCTCACCATCACTCAACCACCTACACTCCTAACACACACACATCATACCACGCACCGCACCATCAATACAGACTCACTCACCTCTACCACACCCCCTACTAACTCAACAACCCATAACGATCCAACGCTCTCAACACACAAATCTACCACCACACACACTCCCCCTAAACACACCAATACACAACCCCCACGCATCATCCCAACTCCCCACATACATCAACACCCCTCGACACATCACGCACCACAAACACACCATACCAGACCCACCACACACTCCTATCCCACCCCCAACCATACCTTCCACACTCACTACATTAGACATCACCCACCATCACTCCGAACCCCTACAATACACTGCACTCACTAACCTAATCCACCCCTCTAACATCATCACCCTCCTATCCAACTGCCATCAGGCACGATTCAGAGACCCAGTCACGGCTCCATGATACCTCAACACACACCACCATACCCATAACCACCGCAACCGACACAACACCACGTCGCCACTACGCCCTCCAATCACGCCGACCCATCATCACACAAATCACACTCCACCCAGACACACCCAACCATCCAAACACCCCAGCACATTACCCACTAAACCTACACTACACTCAATCACCAACTGCACACACTAACACCACCGCAACACACCAAACGCACTCAACCCGAACGAAATCTCCGCATCGTCCACCATGCGCCCACCAGCCCTAGATGCCATCCCTAGCGCTCATACACATAGCCACACACAAACCCAACAGCCATTTAACCACCTCGATCACTCATCCCGCAAATAGCCGGACTCGCAACTCTGATCACCCTCGCTCCTACCAGTCCACTCAGCGCAGCTCACGGCTGGCAACGCTCCACACAGCTCTCATCCACACACACAACACAGCCAACCCAACACCACGCAAAAAACACATCCACACCTCACACGCCATACCTCCCAGATAACACCAATCACGACACGCACCCCATACATCATCCGCCCAATTCATCACCCCACCTCACCCCTCCACAAATACAGCAACAACCCACCCATCCATCCTTGAACCCCATCCACCTCGCTCTGAACACCCTGCATAACACTCAAGCCCACAACAACAACACAAACCACTATACTAACTACTACCCATCTCGACTACGCCTCGCCACCTCGACCCCGACGTCCTTAGCCTAATACCAACCCCACACAATCACATCAGACCACCTACCTCAACCATTATACACACGACACCACACACACGCTGACACATCGACAACCCTAACTACCACACCCACACCCACACCACACCACACCACACTCCACACGCATACACTCCCAGATTCACCATAACCACCGATACCAAACCACCAACCACACCGAGCCACCCACCACACCACACAACCACACAAACGCCCTATAGACAACCCCAAACACTCAGCCACTATCACCGAGTCACCACCACAGACACCAAACCACAACACCACCATCCCCCTCAACCCCCCCCCGCACCACCCACAAACCAACTACCCAATCCCCATACATATACCAAAACACCCAAATACTCACGCACCCAACACCGCATCAAACAATCCCTACACCCATCCTAACACCATCCATCATCCAGCACCTATCGCTCACACCCACTCACCACGATCCAACCACCACACCAGCACATCAAACCACACCTACACTCAAACCCACCCTAACTACCATACTATCCGAACCAACACCTACCCACACCAACAAATAGCCCAACTATACATAACTACCTCAACGATCCCCCACTTCCTCTACGCTCACTACCACTAACACACCATCACTCTCACTACATCAGCCACGACGCACCCATCATCACAACACACACTACACAAGACATCACAGCCAGCTCAAACTACACAACAAACCACCCACAACACCGATCAAACTATACACACTCACCTACATCACACTCCATCACACACACCCTCCCAACGACCTTCACCCCATCCACGCACATCACCCTCACACAAACCTACTTACATGCCCCACACGAACACACGCAACCTCCATAACTCTACATCCAATCCACATCCACCGACCCGCCTCACACACCACTCCACACAACTCAACACACCACTACCCACACAGTGTCACAAACCCCAACACCACTGCTACACAACACTCACAACAAACGCTCACCACCTATAGCTACTAACACGAGACCCACACCACCCCAACACTCACTTCGACCCCTATCACCATCCCAACCTCACTAACATCACAAATCATCACCTCATCCAAACCACATCCACCACACACCACACCCAATAGACCACAGCATCAAAAGTCACAGATCACCCACACTAACACAAAACATCACAATCGAATCTCAGCCACGAGTCCGCATCACACACACTCTTATGCTTCACATAACAACAACATACTTCGCTGCAGACACAAAGTCCCAACAACCCCAACACCAACTCACACCAAACCTCCATCCAACAATCCACCACATCCCACATCACACCTCACAATCACTACACTCACATCACAACACACACTCCCATAGGACCACTCGTACACCCATCCCGCCATCACCTACCGCAACTCAAACCACACGCCAACAGTACACCACAAAACCACCAGCACCCAAACATAGACGCCACCAACACACCCTCGTGCTGACACAATCACCGAACCACCTACCTACACTCACCATTCCATCCACACTAACACCCACACGCTTGTTTGGTTTGGTTTGTGTGCTGTGTGTGGTCTGTTATGCATCACGTATCTTACACCGTCCGTCAGCACCGCCACCACACATTCGTCACTCTCTCATCCTCGTCCGCGCTCACCAACATGGACACACATCAGCAACACTCACACACTAACCCACTCCGCGCCACATAACAGCCCATCACACCTCCTCGCACCACACCACGATATACCGACCTACAACTCTTCGCACACACTCACAGAACGTGTGTGTCGAGTGTGCTGTGTGTGGTGTGTGTGTGTGTGTATACACGACAACCAAACAGCTACCGAACTCCAAGCTACCACCAATCAGACCGAAGCCAAACGCGAACCACATACCAACCCCCCTCCCCTCCGCAGACCACGACCTACCCCAGATTCTCTCTACTACCACTAACCACTCACACGCCGCACGCACAACACCGACCACGCCAACCGCCGCACCCACTGACTACATCCCCCCTAACCACCACTCACCACCACCACTACCCATTCACCCATCACATCCCCTAACCAGAACGAGTACCCCACACCTCACATACACCAACTACCTCACCACCAGATATCCTAACACTAGCAACAACTCAACCAATAACACCTAATACACACCACCTCCTACTCACACAATCGCACTCAAATCAACCCATCCCCCCGCCATAACCCCACCCAGAACCCTAAACCAAACACTCCACAACCCCCCTACCACCCTGCACACAACCAAGCACTATACACCATACCCCACCACCAAACACCATACCACCCAATCAATCTACACAACCACGACATCGACACGCACGCAACCCCATATCCCACCTTCACAAACACAACCACCCGACCACGCCAAGCACCACACGTACACCAGCTATACTCCCTCGCCAAAGCCCATCCCACCACTATATTACCTCACAAGTCACATCACACCCATACACTCCCCCTCACCACCCCACCACCAACAACCCGGACAGATAGCCACCATACCTCTCTCCACACACAACTATAACATCCTCCCTCAAAACCTCCTCACACTAGCAGCCTCACCTACTCACACGTCACAACCCTCACCGCCACACACAGCCGACACGCCACCACACTCTACACAGCCGCACAACCCATACCATCACAACCCTACACTCGACCGTCATCACACACACTGACACCCCACCCATCACCCCCATCCGACACACCACCCAAACAACACAATACACTAAACACACACTCACCTCACACCGAACACAACCAACCACACACTCAATACTCTCATCCCCACATGCATAACTCCACCCATCTCAGACAACCACCTACTCACACCCACTTCTCTATCCCATCAACCCCTAACACCACCGCACCTCACCACATCACCCCAAACCAATCGACACTACTAATCAAACAAATAACTACTCCACACAATCTACCTACACGAACCCAACACTACAACCTACTCACGCTCACCAAACAACTCTAACACCCACCACCACAACCAACTCACACCCAACTCCCACCCATCAACTACTACTCACCCAACACCCTCAATCTCCACACCACACCACCTACCAACACCGACAACACAACCACCACATTCTACACACGCAAACCAAACCACGCACCAACACCCTACCACACGCTACACACAACAATGCATCCCACCACACACACCACACCAACAACTCAACACCAGCAGACAGCCACACTCACCCACCCACTATCACCCCCCACCTATAAACAACACACTCTAAAATCTCTCACATCACTATCATCTATCTACATCTCTTACCACTCCTCTCATATCTTCATATATCAACTATAGCTTATATCTACACTGCACCCTCAACACAGCCCCACTCCCACACACATCATCCACTAACCCAATACGTGCAACACTCCCCATCCTATCCAACAATCTCTCCATACAAGTCCCATATCCACACAGAGCGGCACACGCAGTCCCACAACCATACAAACACAGTCGCTCGCACTACAGATCAGCAATACCGCACAATCTAACACTACAAAAGTACACACCAGCATCCACGAATTACCGCTCATTCACTACACCACACAGCACCACCAACACTACCACTAATACACCAACACACCCACAGTCCAACAATCTACCCCCCCACCCACACCCGCCTCCTTATCACACACCAACTACATCTCACATACAACATACTCCATATACCCACCACACTACCAAACACTAACCATTCTCATCTCTACTCATCTACACAAACTCGCACGCACAGACGACACCATCCACACACATCAGCGCGATTCTAACCTATCAGCTGCACACGAACCACCACACACACGTCACTCTCACCCACCCAAACACCCACCCACACCACACACACACACCACCACACCACGACTCACACCACCACACCCAACACACCCCACACCACACATCCCACACCACACAACCTACCACCACAACACACCACCACACCAACCACCACCACCCCTCACCCATACACCCCTACACACACAAACACAAACAACACTCCCAACCATCACCTCGCCCCTCACCACCAGTTCCCCACACCACACCTAACACACCTACCACCACACCTACCCACCGTCACTACAGTCAAGCGTGCTACCAATAAAACCACCACGACCAACCACTCACACCTCGACCACAACCACACAAACATTCCCACCCCACTCATACAACCACCCGCCACCGAACTCTCATTCCAGACACAACGCCTACCTCACCACCCATCCCACACCTCCTACCACCACACGTCACAGTCTCACAACACCACCACCCACATCCCACACACACCATACCACTACCACCCCCCCTCCCACCACCACCCCACCACACCCAGTCTTCACTCCACCTCCCACCACACCTCACAAACCACCTAACACACACCACCATCCCCAGCCACATCATCACCCCACCAACATCCCATCGAACACACCAGACATCCAAACCCATACTTACCAACCTTCAACAACAAGAATTTCATTGTCCTCCAAAATCCACCCTATATATAATAATATCATATATAGATATACTATAACTTGAATATATATATAGTATATACCTATATATATATGTAAATTATATATATAACATATATATACTATATATATATATAATAGCCTTATATATACAACTATAATTATAATGAGTATTATATACTACTATACCTATATAGTCTAGTTATTAATGAGTGAGTGAGGTGTAGGTATATCGATGTTTTACTATATATCTGAATATAGCTATATATAATACATACTTATACTATAGATATATATAACTACTATATATATATATAAAATATATTTATTAATATATATAATAATATTGTATGTATATTTATATATGTGTGTACGTGTGTGTGGTTGTGTGTATGTGTGTGTATGTGTGTTATTATATCTATATATATATATATTATATATTAATATATATATTACATATATATATTATATATATATATATAATATATATATATATATATATATATATATATATATAATAATATGTATATATATATATATGATACCGCATACATTGCAGAAATGCTTTCAACATAATGGCAAAGGAATGAAATCCGAGATCCTATTGCAAACAATTCGTTCGCCCGGCTTTCTGAGGGCGACGTGGCAGTCCCTACGATCGCTCCACTTCAAGAAAAAATAATTTTGATCCAATAACTTTTTCCATTTAATTTGGTTCTTTTTGGAGATTTTAATCTTTATTTCATTTCGTGTATTCTTGATCGCAAACATTATCATTGTCTTTTTGTTTTGTCTGTTTATTTGTATTCATAAATATTTCGCTACATCGGAGAAGCACTTGTATGAAGAGAAATTGTATCTTCTCCCTAAATGATTAAATTAATAAACGTGTGATTCTTTTAGATTTTTATTCTCTTTCTTTTATTCATGATATAAAATTGTCGAATGGATTTTGAAATTTTAAAACCTAGATAAAATAGATTAAAATGTCCCCAGATTTTGCTTTGGGATAGACTTCCTTACCCTCTAGTCTAGAAACTATTTCTGTGCATTTACATTAGTTTCAGGAGTTTAAATGATGTGAATGTTGACTTCCTCTTGTCATAGTATGTTAGTTTTCTACAATGAAAAAGATAAAGAAAGATATTCAGAAGCACAGAGTGAAAATGCACGATATTCTCACTTAATCTGAATATCACGACGCTCGCACCATATTCAGATAAAAATTCGAGAGCTGACTTCCTCCTCCCTCCCTACCCTTCCTGTCCTTTTTGCCCTCCCTTCCCTCCCTACCCTTCCTGTCCTTTCTGCCCTCCTTGCCCTCCCTTTCCTCCTTGCCCACCTTGCCCTCCCATCCCTCTCTTCTCTCCCTTGCCCTCCTACGCCGACGAGACTCACCTGAGAGACGACGAAGGGGAGGGCGAAAGCCAGGACGAGGAGGGTGTGGAGCGCGGAGTCTTGTCCTCGCCTCATGGTGTCGTTTTCGCCGGGCAAAGCGCTTGGACTTCGCCTCGGCCCTCGGCGCTCGGGTGTTCTCTCTCTCGCTGAGAACGGGCGGGCTTTCGGGGCTTAAAAAGGTGTGTGTGGGCTGGTCGAGGCTGAGGCTGCGGGGTGAACACAATATTGGTTTACTGTTTTTTGCTTTTTGTTGCTGTTTTTTGGGATATTCTCTATTAAAAGGGATAAGAGATTTATATCTTGGTAAACGTTAGATATGAAGAATGAAGTTGATTTTTTAAAATATCATTACTGGCAAAGCGACGCGTGTTTTCGAATCCCGCGAAATTCTAGCGGTTCCTGAGCGATCGGTGTTTATTCTAACTGCAATTTACTCTACGGAAAAAAAACGTACACTGCAACTGCAATCGACGGAATATTACATTACGTTACACATTAAACAAATCATTAGTCAGTGAAGAAGAATTTATCTGCCCGACGACAAACCCCGACAAATGACCCCGACAGATGACCCCGACGCAAAGGAGCCGCGTGTCAAGCTGACCTTCCGCCACGAGTCACCCACTGACGAAGGCAATTTCGACGCGCGGCGCCCGACCGACACGGAGCGAGACTGAACGAATGACCGACGGAGGAGCGGAAAGGGGAAGAAAAGGTTAGGAGACGGAGACAGAAGGAGGAAGGGAGAGAGAGGCGAGCCAGAGGGACGAGGAGGGGGAGAGGAAGGCAGCGGGACGACCACCGACCCTGCGTGAGTGCGTGTGACCGCCGACGACGAAGAGTCCCGACCGAATGAGCCCTCCAGCCCACCAGGCCTCAGAGACGTCCCGGGCGGCCTCGCGCAGACAGGCTTCGCACGGCGGTGTCACAGGGGGCGCGGAGGCCGGGGGGGGGGGGAGGGCAGGGGCTCCTGGCGACCGCCGCGAACGAGATTTCAGGACCAATGGAAGGCCGGAGGGAGCGGGAGCGAGGCGCGGACGGCGGCTCCGGCTTCAGGGAAAGGCTCTCGAGCGAGGGAATCGGACACAGGCATGTTGCATACATCAAATGGTGTGTGTATATGTACACACACACACACACATATATATATATATTATATATATATATATATATATATATATATATATATATATATACATAATATATATATAATATATATATATATATATATATATATATATATATATATATATATATATATATATATATATATATATATATATATATATATATATATATATATATATATATATATATATATATATATATATATATATAGTATATAATATATATATATATATATATATATATATATATATATATATACATATATATATATACATATATATATATTATATATATATATATATATATATATATATATATATATATATATATATATATATATATATATTATATATATATATATATATATATATAATATATATATATATATATATAATATATATATATATATATATATATATATATATATATATATATATATATATATATATATATATATATATATATATATATATATATATATATATATATATATATATATATATAATATATATATATATATATATATATATATATATATATATATATATATATATATATATATATATATATATATATATATATATATGTATATATATATATATATATATATATATATTATATATATATTATATATATATATATATATATATATATATATATATATATATATATATATATGTGTTGTGTGTGTGTGTGTGTGTGTGTGTGTGTGAGTGTATGTGTGTTTATATATGTGTCTGTGCGTATATGTGTATGTATATGCGCACACACACACACACACAATACACAACACACTATGTGTCCTGATGCTTCCATATCTGATCTGGAACGTGCTAACTCTTCCATTCGCTAATCACATGAACCTAAAAACTTAAAAGCCAATTTTATGTATCACTGAACCACCTCCCCGTCCAAGAAAAAAAAAGGAAAAATTGAATGTTTATCTTTTCTCCCGATCGACGGCCAAACAGCGGCCTCCTTCCAGCACACTCCTCCGGCGCGTCGCCCTTGAATGAGCCCCTCGTCTCGCAAGGAAGCGGCGGGACGATAAGAAACAACGGCATTCAGCGACACCCCCCCCCCCCCACCCCCCCCCTTCGCCTCCTCCTTCCCAGGAAATGAAAAAAGGAGGGGCTCGAGGGGGTTGCTTTTTTTTGGGGGGGAGGGGGAGGGGGAGGGAGACGAGCGAAACTTCACACGCGGCCGCAAGCACGTCCACGGGGACCTGCGGGGCACAGTGCAAGCGCGTGCACACACACGAACGCACGCCGTACCGTCCAGGGGAGGCGGCCGGTCGAGACAAGCGAGGCGACCCCCAAGCTCCGTCTTTTATTTCCAGGACCTCCTACGCTGCGTGACGTCACCGTAGCGTCCTCTACCTGACCCCTTTTGTGACCTAGCTTATTTACCCGCCGAAAAAGAAAGAGAGAGAGAGAGAGGGAGAAAGGGCGAAAAAGGCAAAAGAGAGATGGTCCATTCCGTCTTCAAAGAAAAACGACTTC